TTCTTTTATAGTTAGCCCTTTCATATTCTGTTCGAGAAATCTTTTCCTCTCCAAGTCATGAGGCTGTCTCCTATGTTTTACTCAACAGCTTTATTATTTTACCTTCACATTTAGACTTACAACCATCTGGAACTGATCTACAACCCAACTAGAACAGTGTAATGTGAGGTAATTTTTTCAGATGGATATCCAATTGATGTAGCCTATTTATTGAAAAACCACCCTTTTTCCACTGTAACTTTGTCATAAATAAAGTGACCATATATGTGTGAGTCTGTTTCCCAGATTTTAAGTCTTTAATTTACCAATTTAAAAATTGCTACCTCTGTTGCTAGTTGTTTCATCTTTATGCTGCAGGTCCCTGATACCAGTAGTATGGTTTAGTTTTAAAAGGCAGGGTAAATGATTGGTTTTTCCTCTTTGTTTACTATTCTTAGAAATAGATTGGGGTTATTAGCATCATTCAGTGTGATCAACTGCATTTTTAAAGTATTGTTATAAATTTATATATTTAAAACATAATGTTTCAATCAACTGTGGTTATCTTCATTGATGTTCAAAATGTCCCATCTTTGGGAATATCTTTTTGTTGGCTCTGAGGCATTTTGATATGACCCTGTTGTGGAGGATTTATTGTTTTGACCATGCAGTGGGGTCTTATGGGGACCAGGGATTGAACCTGGGTCACAGTACTGAAAGCCCAGAATTGTAACCACTAGACCACCAGGGAACTCCCAGACCTGTTCTTTTTCAATAACTCCCTTGCTCTCTGGTATGTTTGCGGCAATAGATAATGGACAGGTAGTGACCCTTTGGGTGGGTGAAAATTCTGAGGTAGACTGGTAGCCTTGGAGAGTTCAGTGTGAGCAGCTGCTTGTGTATAACAGATGTGCTCAAGGCAGGTAGCTCCAGGCCTAGAGTAATGTCCCACCCACAATGGGACCATCTCAGGAGTGATCAGGAAGAGGGAGGGAACACTGAATTAATAACTAACACTTAACGAAAATGTACTATGTACCAGAAGCTAATCTTAACTCTCTAGAAGTGCTAACACATTTTATCCTCACAATCCATGGGGTGTTAAGTATTATTAGCCCCACGTTGCAGATGAGGAAACTAAAGCACAGAAAATAATTTTCCCAAAGCCACAACATCAAACAAGTAAATGATAGTCACGAGCTGAACTTGGGTGCTCTCCCAACCAAGATAGCAAACAAGAAAAACCATTCCTCTTTCCTAAGATTTGGTGAGAATGGCTGTGGAGGGGGGTTCCAGCAACAGGAGAGCCTGGACAATGCCATGAAATGTTTAGACAGAGTTAATTTTCATTCCAACTGGCCTTGGGGTGCTGAGGTCATTAGACTCAGTTCCCTCCCCTTCCTCCCCAACAGGTTTCCTTTCCCTGCGCCCCTGCCTTCACTGGAGTTTTTGTGCTAGCTCCTTCCCCTGCATCCCCCAGAAATTCACTTACCAAGGTGGCAATTTACAAATAAAATTTCTGATGAGTGCTTAATATGTGCTGGGTGCTGGTCAAGTGCTTTCTATATTTTCTCAATTATCTCCATTATATAAAACTAGACAGCATATTAAAAAGCAGAGACATTACTTTACCGACAAAGGTCCAACTAGTCAAAGCTATGGTTTTTCCAGTAGTCATGTATGGATGTGAGAGTTGGACTATAAAGAAAGCTGAGCACCAAAGAATTGATCCTTTGGAACTGTGATGTTGCAGAATCTCTCCTGTTGTACTGCAAGAAGGTCAAACCAGTGAATCCTAAAGGAAATCAGTCCTGAATATTCATTGGAAGGACTGATGCAGAAGCTGAAACTCCAATACTCTGGCCCCCTGATGCAAAGAACTGACTCACTGGAAGAGACCCTGATGCTGGGAAAGATTGAGGGCAGGAGGTGAAGGGGATGACAGAAAATGAGATGGTTGGATAGCATCACCGATTCAATGGACGTGAGTTTGAGCAAGCTTCGGGAGTTGGTGATGGACAGGAAAGTCTGGCATGCGGCAGTCCATGAGGTTGCAAAGAGTCAGACATGACTGAGTGACTGAACTGATAGAGAGGAGCAGGCTGAGTGCTTTTTCAAGGTCACAGTCAGTGACACCTGAGCCAGGATTCCACCCAAATGTATCTTACTCCAAAGCCTTGAGCCTCTTGTGACCCACTGCTGCCCTCCGCTTGGCCTGGGACAGCACTGCCCTGCTGGGCTGGGTACCAAGTTTTAACTACAGCACACAGCGTGCTGAGCAGGTTCCAGCTAATGAAGGACAGGTTGGGGGTGGGGAGGGGGGAAGCAGGAAGGGTAGTTCTGGTTCTCAAAGCCACTACAGAGCCCCTCAAATTGCATCAGCCAAAACTATATGTATTATTTTGATACAAAGAACACTATTGGGATAATTGGTAACATTTGAATAAGGTATGTGTTCTTGGTCTTCAGTTGTGTCTGACTCTTTGTGACCCCATGGACTGTAATCCGCCAGACTCCTTTGTTCATGGGATTCTCTAGGCAAGAATACTGGAGCGAGTAGCCATTCCCTCCTCCAAGGGATCTTCCCAACCCAGGAATCAAACCCAGTCTCCTGCATTGCAGGAGGATTTTTTACTGTTTGAGCCACCAGAAAGCCCTTTAATAAGGTTACATAACTGTAAAGGCACATGATGTCTACAACTTTCAATTTTTAAAAGTGCCTGCATGTGTGGACATCCCCAAATGGATATTTCACAGGCACGTCAGACCTACTGCATCCAAAACCAAAATCTTGACCTTCCCTCTGGTCCACCTCACACCCCAATTCTGTCTTCCCACCACAGCCTTCTTCAGCCCAGAAAAACAGTAATTCTATTCTTTAAGTTACCAAGGTCAACAGTGTCACAGCCATCCTTGACTCCCCCTCTACTCTCCACAGCCACATAGAATCCTTCAGCACATTCTGAGGATCTGACAATTTCTCACAGCATCATCGGAGCTCAGCCAGCATCCTCTCTTGCCCTGATTGCTGCTGCTCCCTGCACCCGCCCCCCCACTCCCGTGCCCATCTGAAATCTAGTCTGAGAACAGCAGCCAGTAACCCTTTGAAAACAAACATCGAATCAAGTCATTCCTTGGCTCTTAACTCTCCAATAGCTTTTCATGTTGCTTACCGAGTACAAGCCAGTGGCCTTGGCCCTGCGTAATTACTCACTCTTTGGAACCTCATTCCTTGCCACCACTCCCTCCCTACTCACCCTGTTTCATCCACCACTGCTGCTCCTGAGGGCGAAAGTGTCTGCATTTGTCCTGCACCTGCCTGGGACACCCTCCGCCACCTCCCCAGGTGTGTGTCCACCTGCCCAAACACCACCGTGGTACAGCAAGGCCCTTCCTGAGGGCCCTGTTTACAACTGCAGCCTCTTCTCAGCAGCATCTCCTGTTCCCCTCTCGCAGCTACAGTTTCTCCATCTACACGCCTTTTTCACATGCTTGCCACCTTCTCCAAAATGAGCCCCATGAGAACAGTGATTGTGTCGGCTTTATTTTTTGCTGCTTCCCCAAGATCCAGCCAGGGTCTAGCACAGGGAAGGCACCCCACCAATGTTTGTTGAATGCATGGAGGGCATCAAGATCTGGTTGTGGGGGCCCTCAGGTGGCAGGATACCAGATGCAGACAGTTACAAGGGTGCCCTGGGAGGTGACTGCTGACAGCACTGGCTCAGGAGTGAGTAGACGGACCTCACAGGCCTGGACGAGGAGAATCTTCAGTCAATAGACTGAAGACCAGGGACCTGCTTGCTCCAGCACCACAAGAGCCCATGAGAGCAAGACAGTAAAGGAAGACTGCTAACGCTGGGGTTCTCATCAATCATGGAAATTGGGGGCTTAGTCAGCTTTAGTTGGATTTAGGAAATTAAACACTGTATCTTTTAAACCTTGTGTGTTGGGAATCAATTCATTGCAGAAATCCCACCATTTAGGGTCCGTATAGGTGAGAAAAACAGAGAGGTCCCTGTCCAAAAGGCAAGCAACCCTGTCCTACTGGCCCAAGGCATTAGCCCCAGGACTTCAGACCCAGGGCAGCCCTTACCCTCCACCAGGGCCAGTGTCACCAGGAAAGCAGTCCTGGGGTGGGGAGCACATAGACCTCCCAGGTCAGGTGCTGCTGCTGATGGGACAGTAAGATGAGCAGGAGTCAGGCAGCTGAGGGGAGCCAGGGAGGGAGAGACAAGGAATCAGGTGGGGGAAACATCTTGTGCAAAGGCTAGAAGACAGAGCAACTGGGACAAAGAGGGGACAGCAGGAATGTGGCTGTGGGAGGCGAGACCTGAGCATGGGTTCAGATGGGGAGGGGGCAGGACTCAGCAGCAAGCCTCAGCTAAGGTCACAGAAAGGCACCAAACAGATAAATCTCACCCCACTATTGTGTAAGGATGGAATGAGCAAAGGCGACTAGGCAGCAGGGAGCCAGCTGGCAGTCAGGATGAATCCGAAGAATACTTAGAAGGCAGAACGGGCAGGCCTTGGTCACTGACGAGATCACTCCTAGAACAGAACTGATGGTGGTCAAGTAATACTGGACTGGGGCAGGTCCTAGGTTTGGCCGTGCAAAGTCCACATGAAGAAATCTCACAGGCCCATGAGGTTAGGGATGTAGACTTGGGAATTGCAGGACTGTGATGACTACAGCCCTGAGAGTGGGCAAGAACACCTAGGAGAGCATTCAGTGGGGGGTAGGGGGTGGGGGGTGGGGAGAGAGTCTCTGGCAGAATCTACCATCTCAGGGGCAGGACTGGTGGGAGGAGAGATGCCCAGAAAAGCAACTGAGGAGGAGCAGCCAAGGCAGCAGGAGGAAAGGCAGAAAGCTGGAGAGCAAGTGGTGAAGGTCAAGGGCAGAGGATGTCTCTAGAAGCAGGGATTGGTTGGCAGCATCCTGGAAAGTGACACTGGTTCCACACGAACAACCCCCATATCTCATAGCAAGTCAGCACTCCCCCCAACAGATATCACAAACGATCTAGAATTTAACAGGTGTTTATTTGTGTAGTGGGAAGATACAGATATATAAATATGATTACTTTCCAAGGTACAGTTTATCATGATCTGACACTGCACTGAAAGAGAATCAGTTCAATACTATCAGACAGTGCACAGAGAAAGGTCAGCTGTGGCAAAAACACACAGATTTAGTGAAATGCCAGAGGCAGGGCCAGGACCAAAAAAAGTAAAAGTGTTTGTTGCTCAGTCAGATCCAACTCTATGCGACCCCACAGACTGTAGCCCATGGGCTCCTCTGTCCATGGAATTCTCCAGGCAAGAATACTGGAGTGGGTAACCATTCCCTTCTCCAGGGGATCTTCTTGACTCAGGGATTGAATCCAGGTCTCATGGACTGCAGGTGGATTCTTTACTGTCTGAGACACTGCAGTGGGGTTCATTTGACTACAAGGCACTTCCTAGTGGGGCCAGGGAGATCATTTCTATGTTTGGGGAAACCTTCTCATTAAAAGACCTTCAGGGTAAACAGAACTGAGAAAGTGCCTGACTCACCCCACACCACTAGGCTTCCCAACAACCTTCAGTAGAGGGGCCTCTTCTAACACTTTTGTCTTCTCTTCCTGTTTTTAGAAAGTATTAAACATCAATAAAAATTAAAACTTGGTATCATCATCAACTCCAGAAGAGAATCCACAATCCATGAGCACTGAGGCTCCATGGACGGCCTTCTGAGCACAGTTCCTGGTCCCCACACCCGCAAGACACACCAGGCTGGTCTCCTCTACCCGTGCTTTTCCTGCCCCCACCCCTTGGGGCTTCTCAACAGTGCTCTGGCTGGACAACAACAAACCACTGTACCCTGCCCCTGCCTTTTTTTCTCTTGGCTCCAAGTCCTTTGATTATACTGGCCCTGATGCCTGCTCAGCTCTTTCCGTTTGTAATCAGCTCCCAGATACCCAGCCATTGTGACATAAGGCAGCCACACAGAGCTGTGTCTGTGGATTTAAATACAATAGCACACAAAGGACATCCTTACAAGATGTATATACCTTCTCAACCCCCTTCCTATTCTGGCACTCCCTGGCACAAAGCCAGCAAAACCAACACATGAACTTAATGGAGGTGAGAAATGGGTACTCCAGCAGCTGAGGATAGGGACTGCGCTATGGTGATGTCAGTAAGGAAATTCACCAGCTGCTAAACCAACTACAGCCTCTGAGCACTACATAAGTGCTCAGGAGGTTTCAAAGAGCTCGGCCCTGCCCGATACCTGGGAGACCACAGCAGAAGCAACTTTAGCCCAAGGCCCAGAGGGTCACTGCCCCCAGTTTGGAGCCATTTTTTTCTCTACAGATAAAAAGCTGCCTGGGTCCATTAGATTTAACAATGAATGAGGAAGTGCCAGTGCCAGGCCTTGCAAGCATGCATCCCGAAGAGTGGGAGGGCAGGCCCAGGATAAGTCCATCACAGCAGCTGCTTACCATCCCTCCACAACCATGTTCCTGCTTCCTGTCATAATCATTACTTCATCAATTAACTGAAAGGGAGAGACTACCACTTAAACACAATGGCCCTTGGGCCTGGTCTTCATTCCACACTAACACTCAGGAAACAGGCCAGTCAAGCCAGTGGTTCTAGGTCATTATTATTCTATCCGCTCAAGAACTTCACGGATCCCTCCTGTCAATGCCATTTCTTCAATGAAGAATGGTCTACTTCACACATATCCTCCCCCACTCCTCTGTCTGCATTTGGAAAACTAAAAGAAATAGTTTTCATTCAATGTAGTGCCTAGTCTCCATTCATGAATCACCCCTGTGATCCTTTGCTAACGTAGAATCCAAGAGAAACAACCCCCATCATCTATCCCCAAGTGGCCACCTGCCATCTAACCCTGTTATCACTAAAGATAACACTGTTATCACTAAAGATAACACTGTTATCACTAAAGAAAACAAGAAACACAAAGCCCCTGACTTGTTATATGTAAGGACATAAGTGAAAACTTTTAGGCCTTCCCTCTCTACTGTCATCTGCTACAGAGGTCTTTCTCCCATTCCTCTTGGCCCCCACCACATCCACTTGCCCAGAGGAGTGCTGCAGGCTCCTGAGCTGTGTGCACAGGGCAGAGGGGAACACTGAGTCAAGTCACAGGGAGGGCGGCACCAGTGGGCGAGAGGAAAGGGCCTCCTTCCCCATGGAAATCAGCCCAGGGGCAGCAGGAGGTGAGCAAGACCTCAGGCAAACCATTCCTACTAGGAAGGGAGAATTCAGGAACCTGTCTACATCCTCGTTTCATCAGGCTGGCTTTCTAAATGAAGTGGGAAGCACTCAGATGCTGTAGGCAGGTGTTAAGGTTGGACTGTTTCTCTCTGAAGGAGAATGTGATCACTGTCTAGACTTTTGAACACTCAGGCTGTGTACAGGGTAGGGACAGTGTAGTGCCTGAGAACCAGTCTCCAGAGTTACACAATTCTGGGTTCAAGTTACCAGCAGGATTCAATAAAAACTATGTGCCAGGCACTGTGCTAAATGCTTACATGCATTATCTCAAAATCCTCACGACAATCCAGAAAGGGAGGTGCTATGATCAGAGCCAAGTGAGCTGGAATTGTACATAGTAACCTGCCCAAACCCAGGGCTATTTGAGCCCAAAGTCTATCTTCATAACCACTGCACTTAGCCTGTCATGATGCCTCATTTTCCTCGTGTATAAAATGGAGACAATACCTTGATCTAAATTTAGTGAGTCCTGTTAGCATATATATGTATGTTACCCCTCAATAAAGTCGGTTTCAGTCGGAAAAAAAAAAAAAAATGGAGACAATACCCGATCAAAGGTGTCCTCTGGATTAAAAGAGATAATGTATCGTTAGCACTGTGCCTGGCACTTTTAAGCACTATTATTGCAGTTATTAATAAACACAATGCCAGTAACTTAATGACTCAAGTAAAAAGGAGCCTCAACAGATAGGCATTTTGTAAGAGGGGAAGCAGAGGCTTCTTTTCAAGAGCCAATGGATGTGAAAGCCACTGGCCATGAAATTCTAGACTTCACCTATTCTGGCATTCTATTCTCATAAATTATCTACATGTCCTAAAACACCAACACTTCAGCACCCAAAGTATACCTCCCAAGCCACCCTCACAGCTGAAATCTCTTTGCCTTTGAAAACATGGTGACACATGTGGACAGGTGAAAGCCTTGCTCTGTCAAGAGGCAGTCACAGGTAAGAAGAGCAGCCTCTAGCCCACCTGAGGGCCCAGGTGAATAAGGTCATTGCTGGTCAACCTGAAAGGGTTAAGGGATAGTGCTAGGAGGAACAGAAAGATGGAACCACCTTCAAATAGAAATAGGCAGTCAGCAGCTGGGACTACACTCCTTGTTGAGAATGGGCCCATCTTCTGCAGGGAATACGGGTAAGCAGGGTCCAGGACCAAGAGGAGGCAGGCCTGGATGAGCCCTTAAATTAGGCTCATTATCCCCACTTGGTCCAAATCCAGCACCCTGTGTAGGTTGTGCCACAAGGCCCCCATCCAACAGGGGGAAACAAGTCAGGAGGTGGGAGTGGGTAATCTCTTTCATAAGCAAAAGTTGGGTAACTGCATGGAGAGTGATCAAGGGAAAAGGAAGTTTGCTTTGACCAAGACAAGGACAGAATAGTGCCCAAGAGTCAGACTCTCTCTTCAGAGCTGATGGTTTTTTCCAGACACTCTTTCAGAGCCCCTGCTGCAGAGAAGCACAGTAGGTGGGCCCATGGTTTGTTGTCTTGTGATGTGTGTACACGTTCACCTAGACATCCTCCTCGTAGCCTTTTCTTCTCACCTTGACTGTGGAAGAATAGGAACCCTGGGCCTAAGGGAAACTATCCCCTCCACACTTCCCCCTTTCCTCAGCACATAATCACAATGCACAAGAAAGGTGGGCACAACTTGAGTAACTCCCAAAACAAAAGGCAATGGTGCCTAAGATATCAGTGACCCAAGAAGAAGTTTCAGGTGTGCCACATCTATTAGAATAATGCAAATCTACTTCCTTGGAAACCAACCTTGGGCAGGTTTCTTATGGAGCAAGGCCACTGCTTTCCAGTTTTCTAAGCAATGACGCTCTTTGCCCTGAGTCAGTCACACACCCTGACCCCTGGCAATGTCAGGGATGCTCCTGAGCCTGGTAGGGTCTCACTGACAGTCTGAGGATCTGAACTTAAGGATCCAGTCTCCAGCTAACTCAGCAACTAGTTCACTCAAATCAAAGGGTCTGTTTAGTCTCTATTCAAATATATTTTTGGAATCTCCTTATACAATATAAGTTACAGGATAAAAAAAGCCCAGTGGGGAAAAAATAAAATACCATAAACTGTTTCAAAGTCTACCTGTACAAGGTTAAATATTACATTTTGCCCCATCTGAAAGAGACATTAGATTTCAAACCTACTAATTTCAAGTTACCCCCAATTTCAAGTTCCCCCCAAGCCTTCAGCTTCCTCATCAGCAAAGTGCTCATGCCTTTCACCTGAGATAACTCAGAAGGCTATTGTGAGAATGCACTGAATTCAAACTGGAAAACAAAACAAAAATCTCTAAATCAGGGCTGCACAAAATCAAGTGGGAAACATAAAACCATACAGGGAAGAAACTGAATTCATGACAAGAAAGGGCATACAATTTGTCACTTTTATTTTTCACACACACACAAAAATGGATCTAGAGCAAGTTATGCCACTCATTAAGATGTGCACAGCTGTGTGTTACAACAATCTCTGGAAACTTGTCTGTTTGGTGAAAGATTTTCAATAAATGGGAGAAAGAAAACCAATGTGCTATACAGACACAAGGCGGTGTCTGTCTGCTGGCTACTTCCCACGAAATTCCCCTATTTCACCAGAAAGCATGTGGGAAATCAGAAGAAAACAAAATCCTAGCCGACCCTCGGGCTCTCTGGATGGCAGCTCTGTTGAGCTTCCAGCTGCCATTTCCTGGAACCCTCATCAGCAGCCATGTCCACAGGTATGTGCCAGGCTCCCTGATCCCCACGGTGGCCCTATTCAAAGGTGGCTCTCTGCTGCTAGGTCCCAGCTGAGATTTCCTGTCCCTAAGGACCCACCTATCTTGCCCACAGTGGGGCACCATGAGACAAATGAAGTGCTATTCTCTCTTTGGTTTGGGGAACCAAGTTCATTCTTCATTCAGAAAACTAGATTCATTACTGTACTCCACTCTAAGATTTACTGCTGAGGACAAGCATTTTAAGGAAAAGTATTTAGAAAAGCCCTGTAAGCACTTAATTTTTGCATGCCCAGGACATGACTCAACACCTGTAAGCAGCCTCTGATACGTATACCTGCTCAGCCAGAATCATGGAATATGGAAATTAGAAGACAGCTCAGAAAATGAGAACCCACAGAATGGTGTGTTCTGTCCAGTGTCACATGGCCAGCACTGAAAACACATTCTGTTTTTAAGGGGGCCTTAGACTTAAAAAAGAAAAGCCATTTACTGAAACGGAAATAAAAGTTCAGAAGAAAGAAGCTGCTGTATGTAGAAGGTCACACAGTGATTGTGAACAGAGACATCAAGAGGGGTCTGGCCTGTGCTGGACACTTCAGTGATTTGGGCTGGGCTGCGAGCGTCCACAGATACAGTAAGGTTTAGATAAACACAAACAAAGAAAAGCAGCTCCAGCCCAAGGTGCTGAAACAAGCTGTTACACCCCCGTTTGGCAATGAGAACCACCATGGCACAGAATAATGACACACATTCGGGCACCAAGCTATCTCTTCTCTACCCCTTGCTTATTATCCTGACAAAGAATGTATATTCCAAAAGTCAACCTCACTCTTCTAATTAAAAGGAAAAAATAAATATATCACAATTTAAAAAGAAAAAGGTCCCCCTGTAAAATACAAACTACATTTAAACTGGTCACATTATACAAGTGTGCATTTAACCTTCAGAAGCTTCAAACCTCTGGATTGGGTTATGCAGAGTTGTAAGCAGGACTTTGTGGTTTCAGTGAAGAAGTCATGGTACAACTGAAATCACTGTAAGAAATAAGTGATTTTTAAAGCACACACACAGATATACACTTGCCTTAAGAGTAATATATATATATACATATATATATATTAATATATACAACACAGCAGCTACATGGGTGGTCAGCCAGGTCAAGGGCATGGGTGTGTGAACGAGAAGCCCTCTGCTCCCTGCCTCATGAGGAAGCCCCCAGAAAGGATTCAGCAGCAACAAGTCTATAGCACAAATGTGAACAGCATCATCCCTGAAAAGACCCAGTTAGCCGACTGCCCTATAGGAGCCACTTGAGCCTAAACCCTGTGGGAAAAGACCTCGTTACAGTACATCCTACTGCATACACTTGAAATAGAACAGTGTGGCTTTTTTCCAGACTATTATAACTTTTCATGCTTTTTGAAAAAAATTAAAACTGAAAACTGCTTCAGTCTATGATGAAGTGAGGTGAATCCATATCAAAAAGCAGAGCTCATAGTCCACAGGATTTCGTGAACAGAATGCTTATCTGATTAATAAGCCTTCATCCTTCTTCCCTCAGAAGGCAACCCTCCTGTAGCTCCAAGGCAGGGATCATTGAGAAGTCCAGGAAAAGCACTCCAGTAGTAAAGACATCCAAGCTGTGCACCTCTTCCCTGCTGGGGGTCAGCTACGAAGACAGTTGGTGGTGGGGGGCCTAAACTAGACAAACACAGATGAGTGTCCACTCTGATCAGGCCCAGAAATGGAAGCTCCAGCTTAGGAGCTAGAAGCCCCAAGCAGGCACTCCAGAGCTGGGCAACACTGTCTTCCAGGATGTTAAAAGCTTTGGTTTTAAAAACAAAAATTGACTTCTTTCCAACTCAAAGCTATAGGTTACTCACAACCCAGATCATAAGCATATGGACTGTATACACAGATTTTTTTTCTTTAATCCACAAATAGAAATACTGGTTAAAAAAAAAAAAGTGAGTTGAAGCTTGTCTTTGTCCAGCTAGGCTTGCCTGGGAGCCCTGCCCCTCACTCAGCCCTGTTTCTGCTCTCCTGGCCCTGGGTGGCCCCTACTTGTCCTCTGTGGCAGCTGTCAGCATCCCCTTGTCGGTCAGGTGAGACTTGAGCGTGTTGAAGATATGGAGCTGCTGATCTGGCCTCAAGGTCAGGAATTGCTGAACCAGCTTACTTGGGTTTGGGCCCCTGCAAGAGGATGAAGAAACAACAGTGAGAAAAGCAGGGGCCAAGCAACTTCAAGGGCCTGATTATCTTAGTGGCTGTTCCCTTCCTGGATTCTCTACTAATGGAGGGTAGGGGACCTCAGAGAATCCATAACTAATAGCAACTGAAAACTGCATTCATATTTGGGATTTTTTTCACTCAAACTGAGAAGTAGATGAAACTCTAAAATCTGCCAACTTAGTTCAGAGGAAAAGTACTATACCTGATAAAACTAGCAATATACACATTGACAAAGGTGGCCATCAGATACTGGCAGTCAAAGCGATCCATGATGCCTCCATGGCCAGGAATGGTATTGGCAAAGTCCTGTTAGAGGAAGGAAAGGATTGGTAAGCCTGGCTTCATCCAAGTCAAAGCCTTGTCTATGGTCATACCTCAGTGTCCACCTACTGTACTCAACAGCTGAGGGCAACAGAAAGTGAAAAGTATTGATTCAGGTGCTGAAGCTATAGTATACAATCTTATTAAATTATAAATATCTCTTTTGAAGAAAGATTAACATAAAACATTATCATAAAACTGAAACCCAACCACAGAATTTTCTTAGAAATCATGTATCTTCCTTTATCCTACTTAAATTCCATGCATGGGTGAAGAGCACACATTAACAGTCAGGGTTCACAGCCTGGTATTTTGAAGGGGGTGGTAGTTGATGAGGTGAGACAGGAGGAGGAAGGCAGAAGATGGTGAGAAGGGGCCTGGCTAGGAGACAACGAGAGAACAAAAAGCGTTTTCCTACTTTGATTTTAAAGGCTCGTTTGAATCCACTAGCGAAGAACCCTCCAAAGGGGCCGATGAGCGAGGCAAAAGTAGAGAGGGCAATGCTGTGAATCTGGAAGGGGTACATCCGGACTGTTTTCTAAAAAGAATAAATGAAATCAGTTCAGACGCCTGCAAGCTCAGGCTTATTACTTGTTACCATTAAAAAAAAAAAAAAAGACAAAAAACCACCTCTTTATGAAACTATATCTCCCCCCCAAAATTAGAAAAAAGACTGGTTTAGGAGTTCTGTTTCTGCTAGATCTCTAATACACTGCTTAACAGAGGACATTAATATATTATGCATTCAGACTACAGCAATATGTTTTGTTTGAAGTATATGAAGAAAATCCAGTCCTATAAGGATACATTGTTGAAAAAAGGAAGATTATTTTAGCAGTCTTTTGAGATAATTACAGGGATTCTTTTCTGATACTACACCAAAACTTGACAAATGATAGGGTTCTAAAAAATTGGTGCAATGTGAAATCTGAAATCCTATCAATAATTTTTTTGTACTCTCACATTAAAATCCATTGGTCTCTATCGCACTTTGAATAGATCATTTTATCCACGTATGACTGTGTAACACCATGCATTGGCCATTTCAAAAATACTGGTTCAATGAGTTACATAAATCTGCCATATGTAGACACATTTTGCCATACAATGTCAAAATGTCATATGTTAAAATCACCACAGATCCCACGAGAAAAGCCTCTAAGTATTACGAAGTTATCAAACTTACGTGGCAGGTATATACTTTCCAAAATTCTAATTCTTACTTGAAAACCAAATTTTATTGGTAACAATTACTGTCAGTTGTTTTCTGGAAGTGACAAATCTCACTTCATTTCTTTTTAAGAAAAATGTCTGCCAAAAACCCATATATGAAAGCCTATAGTTTCTCAGTTCTTTTCAATTAAAATTTATGTCCCCATAAAAAAGCCACCAGTACAGCTCAGAACTCAAACAGGTGCACACAAACTCTTCCTTTAGTTAAGCACTGTCCTGCAGTATTCAGCAGAAGTATTTTATGTATACTTTCCATTTTGGCACCAGAGTATTAGGAGATGTATAGTCAAGGGTCAAGACTTAATAAAATTAGTAATTTTACTATTTCATCAAAGACACTGTTAAGATAAGCTGGGTAGGTCTTCTTGTGAGTGTGTGGCATAATGAATCCAATGACAGTCCAGTTTGGTGCCACTGCCGTCACTCATGCTATGGTGTCAGCAGGCTTACCCACCACTGCTTTTGCACCACCATGGCAAATGATGACAAAATGAAAAAGCAAATGATTTCACTATGTTATGAAGAAAACAATTGTGATCTCACAGATACCCTCAAAGCATCTCAGGGTGCCCCAGGAACCAAAAGCACATTTTCAGAACTCTAGTCTTGATAATTTGAGGTAGGAGGAAACATCTCCTCCTGTCCTCACCCTGAACTCACTTAAGCAATTCTCTTCCATCCTGGGGTTTACAGCTTTGGGGAGAGAAGAAGCTAGGTTTTGGGGGAAAGGCAGTGGTAGAGAGGGGGCTCTCTTTGTAGTCACTAACCAGCCGAGGATCATTCGCCCCATGTGAGCGGCACATACCCATCCAATGATCGACTGGATCACCCCAGGAATGTTGTATTCCTGCAGCCGAAACAGGCCCGAGGGCTCACAGTCCACAGTGAAGCTGTTGGTATCATTGTTGTACTCCACAGGGCAGACAAAACATCTGTACCCGGACATCACATAGGACAGCTGAGGATGAGAACAGACAGACAAAGGAGACAAGTTCCAGCCATCTTGCCTGGGCAGTAGGCACCTGGTTAGGCCATGCTCCTCACAGGACCTAGCACCCTAACTGCAAAATATGCACTAAATCAGAGGTTCATGTGTCACCATATGTGTTATTTTACCTGAATTCTGGAAAAAAATGAAAAAGAGACTTATGGCCTACTGAGGCCTCACATGTACTTGCTCCAACAACCAGGTCCTGAATAAATCCAGGAAAGACCTAAAGGTATCTGGGCAAGAATTATAAGAAGTTTTGTCCTATTTGGAGGACCTATGGTTCATTTTTCTCAGGATCTCTTAATTCAAAATGACAAGTGGTGAGGGGAGTGGTATAGTGAGAGGGCGACAACCAGGAGGAAAGAAACAGAAGACCACTAAAGAGGCGAGTGAGTCTTGAAGGATAGCTAGACAGCTCTGAAAAGGGGAGAGACAGGCTTGAAGGTCAGAGGCAGGGAATGGTGCTCTAGAAAGGGGTGGTAAGTCACTCCCCCCCAGGCAAGGCACACGCAGGAGAAAATCTGGGTTAGTATGGCATGTCCCACCTCACCCCTTACTCTCAGGCAAAGTAGCAAAAGCCTGGACACGAACGCCATCTCCTGAGTGTCACCAGACCTCAGCATGAGAGGAGTGCAAGTTGTACATGGCCTCTGCTCCTCTATCGCCAAGACCCTGCCTCAAGACTGGCAGACAGAGGACAGCTGATGCTGCCCATGCCATGTTCACGCCCTGCTACAGGGCAAGGTTATCCTTCAGCAGGACAGAGTCCTTGACCTTGGGAGACAAGCTCATTAACCCGGGATGGGCTCTGAAGGTGGGTGGGAGGCCTCTACCTAACCCTCACCCAGCTGGGAGCCCCTACCTACCAGAAGGCCAAAGACCACAGTAGCAAAGAAGCCTCCAATGAAGCCTTCCCAAGTCTTCTTCGGGGACAGCTGTGGACAGAGAGCAAGTTCTTAACAAAATGCATTTTGATACCTCTGGCTTTGGGAATAATGATTATTTAAAGTCTTTCTACTATTAAAAAAAACCTCATTCAATTAACCACTAAAATACCCCATTCTTGGTTTCCTTGTATAGCCTGACAGCCCTCAGTTTCCTTTCTGTTTCAATTGGTCAAATAATTTAATTATAAAACAGTAAACTAATTAAATGACAACATTCAAATTCAGATCAAAGCCCCAAAAGTGTAACTACACAGTCTATAAAATATTTTCTCTATCAGCTCTTTATTTTTTTCCACATGAGTAATTGTTAAGTCTTCCTTTGGCCTTTGGCTTTTCTCTTGAATCTAATTTATTACTAGCCTTTCTCCAGGATGACATGAAGATGTACATGCCATGCAGATCTCTTCTGTCTCCCAAGCTGATCTACTTGAAAGCACTACCCCAGCCTCACGGTAATGGTCCATGTTAGGGTGATCCGTTTACCTTGATGAGTGGGGTCCGACCAAAGAAGAAGCCAAACATATAGGCCATGATGTCATTACAAATCACACAAGAAATGGGGACAATGAACCTAGGAAATTAAACCAAAGTAAGAATCAACTCTACCAAGATGATACCTCCAAAGTCCACAAAACAATGCTATTCATAAATTTCCATACCAAAATAACCAAACAGTACTTATTACCCATTAAGGAATAAGTTTAAAAGAACAAAAACGCTACTGAGTACCTGGCAGCAGACTGAGCGACTTCACTTCACTTTCACCTGGCACACAGCAGCATTCGAATGTTTACTGAATGACTACTGAATAAATGGAGGTGGTATTCTATATAAAATGTCATGTTCTTTTTCACTACAAAGTAATATAAAATTTTTAAGTATACAGAAAAAAAAATTAAAAATTGTCCTTGTTTCCCCTATTCCTATCTCCATTCTCCAAAATAACTACTTTTAATCATTTCTGACTCTTCTTCTTCTAGTAGTTACCTCCATTATTCTGTTACATTTATTATCTATTTCGTAATTGATTTTTTTTTTTTTACTGTTTATTACTAGCTCTAATGATCCCAATTTCCCCCCAGGACTACACAGACAGCAAGACCAAGATTTGATATGTAAGTGCATAGAGCCAGATTTCTCCTCTGCCTCCTTCTGCTAATGGTCTGATCATCCCTACCACAAAAAAAAAGGGGGGGGGGGGGAACAGTTTCCACACTTATACCATCTCTCTCTTCTCCTCACTCTCTATTCTCTGACAGTCACTTCTTAAAATTTTTAAAATTTCCTCTATAGTTGAACATAATATACATAAATCCTAGTCCCTCAACTACAGGCTTTATTTTTCTGACTCCCTGTTTGTTAAGGGAGAGATTTAAAGCACCTATATCCATCAAACTACCCATATTATTTACTTTGTTGAGACTTCCACATATTCTCTGCTCTACAACTATAATCAAGTCTTGAAGGTTCCATCTAAAAACCAATAATTAGAGATTTTAATATGATTCACTCTAGAACAAAGTCTATGTCTAGCCCTAAAGATAAGAATTTAGCATAAGCCTCTCTTTGGAATTACTTAACAACACTCTGAAAGAGAGGAAGAATATGCCTTCCCATTGTTTTAAACATAATAATGCCTTCACAGTATGCCATTATCATTGTTTTAAACATGATAATGCCCTAAGGCTCTAAAGAACCTCTTGATGAGGATGAAGGAGGAGAGTGAAAAAACTGGCTTAAAACTCAATATTAACATTTAGATGAGCTGGTCTTTACATATTCTAAGCTCTTTATATATTTTCACTAATTTATTCCTCAGGCAGTAGGTATGACAGCATCTTCATTCTGAGAACAGGAAACAAAGGCATGGTCCGGGATCTTAATCACAGTACTTTAAAAGAAAATTTTTTTATTATTATTTTTTTTAATCACAGTACTTTAGTATCTCTGTTGTTGTTCAGTGGCTAAGTCATGACCAACTCTTTGCGACTGCAACATGCTAGGCTTCCCTGTTCTTCACTATCTCCTGAAGTTTGCTCAAACTCATGTCCATTGAGTCGGTGATGCCATCCAACCATTTCATTCTCTGTCACCTTCTTCTCCTCCTGTCCTCAATCTTTTCCAGACTCAGGGTCTTTTCTAAGGAGTTGGCTCTTCGCATCAAGTGGCTTCAGCATCAAGCTTCAGCTTCAGCATCATCCTTCCAATGGATACTCAGAGTTAATTTCCTTTAGGAAATCTGGTTTGATCTCCTTGCTGTCCAAGGGACTCTCAAAACAGTCTTCTCCAGCACCACAGTTCAAAAGTTATCAATTCTTCAGTGCTCAGCCTTCTTCATGGTCCAACTCTGACATCCATACATGACTACTGGAAAAACTATAGCTTTGATCAGATAGACCTTTGTTGGCAAAGTGATGTCTCTGCTTTTTAATATGCTGTCTAGGTTTGTCATAGCTTTTCTTCCAAGAAATAAGTGTCTTTTAATTTCAGGGCTGCAGTCATGGTCTGCAGTGATTTTGGAGCCCAAAAAACTAAAGTCTGTCATTGTCCCCATTTTTTCTCCATCTATTTGCCATGAAGTGATGAGACCGGATGCCATGATCTTAGTTTCTTGAGTACTGAGTTTTAAGCCAGCTTTTTCACCCTCCTCTTTCACCCTCATCAAGAGGCTCTACAACTAGGATATGTCTTCACATTTTCATTAAAAGCATGGCTTCTTCAGTCAAACTACTGATTACTATTAATGGTGATAGATTTCTTGCTGAAATCATTGCATTTGTGGAATAAAATCTACTAAGTATATTATTCTTTTGACACATTGCCAGATTCTATTTGCTATAGTTTATTTAGAAGGGTAAAACTAAAATCATGAAAAAAAAAATCAGTTTATCATTCTTGTTTCTCCCTGTGTTTTTATCAGCTTTAATACTAAGGGTTAGATCAGTTCAGTTCAGTTCAGTCACTCAGTCGTGTCCAACTCAGTCGTGCACACGACTCAGTCATGTGCGACCCCATGAATCGCAGCTCACCAGGCCTCCCTGTCCATCACAAACTCCCAGAGTTTACTTAAATTCATGCCCATCAAGTCGGTGATGCCATCCAACCATCTCATCCTCTGTCGTCCTCTTCTCCTCCTGCCCCCAGTCCCTCCCAGCATCAGGGTCTTTTCCAATGAGTCAACTCTTTGCATCAGGTGGCCAAAGTATTGGAGTTTCAGCTTCAGCATCAATCCTTCCAGTGAACACCCAGGACTGATCTCCTTCAGGATGGACTGGTTGGATCTCCTTGCAGTCCAAGGGACTCTCATGAGTCTTCTTCAACACCACAGTTCAAAATCATCAATTCTTCGGCACTCAGCTTTTTTCACAGTCCAACTCTCACATCCATTCATGACCACTGGAAAAACCATAGCGTTGACCAGATGGACCTCTGTTGGCAAAGTAATGTCTCTGCTTTTTAATATGCTATCTAGGTTGGTCATAACTTTCCTTCCAAGGAGTAAGCATCTTTTAATTTCATGGCTGCAGTCACCATCTGCAGTGATTTTGCAGCCCCAAAAAATAAAGTCTGACACTGTTTCCACTGTCTCCCCATCTATTTCCCATGAGGTAATGGGACCAGATGCCATGATCTTATTTTTCTGAATGTTGAGCTTTAAGCCAACTCTTTCACTCTCCTCTTTCACTTTCATCAAGAGGCTTTTTAGTTCCTCTTAGCTTTCTGCCATAAGGGTGGTGTCATCTGCATATCTGAGGTTATTGATATTTCTCCCGGCAATCTTGATTCCAACTTGTGCTTCTTCCAGCCCAGCGTTTCTCATTATGCACTCTGCATATAAGTTAAATAAGCAGGGTGACAATATACAGCCTTGATGTACTCCTTTTCCTATTTGGAACCAGTCTATTGTTCCATGTCCAGTTCTAACTGTTGCTTCCTGACTTGCATACAGGTTTCTCAAAAGGCAGGTCATAAGATTCGCCAAAACTAGAGAAAGCCTGTGTGCAGTCATAAGTAAATAAATAAATACGCAGCTGCTATCACTGCTCATTTTTTCCAGGTGTAGATTCTAATGGAATTTTCAAAGCTCTTTTATAATTATTGATCTGTTCAAGTTTTCTTCTTTGTGACTTTTATTCGGTGTCCTCTTGCCAGGAAATGATTTGTTTCTTCTAGATTTCCATATTTGCTGCCGTACAGCTGCACTGTCCTGGACTCTTTAAATATCCCTATAGCTGTTGGTTTAGAACAGTGGTTCTCAGAGTGTAGGTCCTGACCAGCAGCATCAGCATCACCTGAGAATGTACTAGAAATGGAGTTCTCAGGCTTCACTCCATAGCTACTGAGGTAGAAAATCAAAACTGGGGCCCAGCAATCTGTGTTGTAACTAGGCCTGCAGGTGCTGCTGATATGCTCAGGTGAGAACTGCCAACTTAGCAAATGGGGTTTCTCAGTCCTCCTATACATAAGAACACCCACAAATAAAAGGAAAAATACCCCTTACTAACATCACTCACCAGATCATTCCTTCAAATAGGTTGTGGATAACAAGATGTGACTGTGTTACAACAATCAGTAATGTTACATGGGTCCAGCCAAACTGCAAAAGAAGATAAAGGATAAATGTTACCTATCGGTTTACCTTGAAAGGAACTTCAAATAATAGCTAATACCAAACAGAAAATTGTTGAGAAACAGGTAGGAAAGATATCTGCTTCTCTATCTGTCTTATTGGAAATGAGAAGCTACAGAACAGGCCTCAAGAAGAACTATGTTTCCCAGCTACAGTTCCCAACAAAAAGAGGGTGCACGTGGCCCACTAGTTAGTCCTTTTATGCTCCAAAAGCCTGGGTACTTCTTGTTTTCTTAGTATTTACTGAGAGATTAGGACACTCAGAGAGGGGGTGTTTTTAAGTTGAGGCAACAATACAGCAGGGAGGATATCTATGGTCTATGTCTAAGGTGTCACCTAGAGCCTTACCTAGAGGACACACTCAGATCCAGATGGGAGAGACTGCTTACGGTATATAACAGTGCTTAGGTCTAGGTGGATAAGAAGCCACCAAACTTCACAGGGGATGCCTCTTTCACCCTCCAGGTTTCAGATGCACAAGAACAGACTACATTCCAAAGTTCTGATTTATCACTGAAAGGATGACAGGCCTGCGGAGTTTCCACAGAATTTCACATATAAGTGTTTTGACACTGACACATTTTGACACTACCCTTACCATGTAGAACTGCAATCGATAATGCTTCTTGACCAGACTCAGCACAAACATGCAGAATCCTAGTTTGAGAAGGAAGGAAGAGAAAGGGCAAAATGAATCACATTCTACATTTATCTTTGTCCTAGTCATTTCCTTTAGCTGTGTCATATGGTCCTTTGCTAATTTCCTGGCAACAGCTAACCAGGGCACAAATCCACTGCTCTAGGGAATAAAATCAGTTATACAGATAAGCAGTCAGAAGGGAAAAATGACTACTCCAAGACAATCAAAGGAAGACAATATTTTAAAATTTTACAGATTACACTCAACTTAGGATACTGTTCACCAGATAGAAATGTTTTGATTCTAGAACAGGGGCTGATAATGGTCAGGCCGGCTGCCAGTATTTTGTTGTTGTTGTTAAACTCACTGGCACCCAAAGCACGGCAACACTGCCCTAGCTGGTAGCTCAGTTATTAGCATGGCGACTCATCATCGAGGTTAGCTGCCTGTTTTTATAAACAAACTTGTATGAGAACACAGCCATAACTATTTGTTTACATGTTATCCAGGGTTTCTTTTGTGCTACAAGAGCAGAACTAAGGAGCTGCAGGAGAGACTCCATAGCCCCCAAAACCTGTAATATTATTATCTGGATCTTAAGAAACCAATCTCTATCCTAAAGAACAGGTCTGGAAGAATGGGGATCCACATGGTATAAGGCTAATAAAGTCATCCTTCATCGCTTTCCTACTGACCCACATGACTAAAACCTCTAGCAAGAAAACGGATTTTACCCACAAGTGTGCTGGGTCCCTCAAAAGCCCTGCCCAGAAGAGAGCATATCACTGTTCTAGACCTCTGGCCTCCCTTTGTGGGGCTGCTTCCAGGCTGAGGCATGCTTTCTGACTATCCTCAACACATCTCAGCAGTAGACTTCATATTCAGTAGCCAGGTATCATTCAGAGAGCCAAGTATCACTATCAAGTTGATGAAAAAATAGGTCAAATTGAAATTTAGGTCAGAGTCAGAACAAATTTCCCATATGCCTCAAACTGGTTTTCAGGGTAACCATGAAGAACATTAGCATTATTTGAATTCCTGTACTGTCTCAACTGAGTTTAGATTGACGGAGCAGTTTACCGTTTGTCAAATTTCAATATAGCTTGTCAAATCCTCATAGTAACTCAGCCATTTTAGCTCTAGGTTACAGGAGAGCTAACTGAGACTCAAAGTAAGTTCCCGGCTCTTCTGAAGTCACAGGCCTTTTCAAATCCAAATCAATAAAATTTCTAATGCACTACAGTGTCCCTTTTTTAAAATTAATTTTTATTGGAATATAGTTGATTTACAACACTGTGTCAGTTTCAGGTGTCCAGCAAAGTGAATCAGTTATACATATACATACATCCACCTTTTAGATCCTTTTCCCATAGAAGCTATTACAGAGTTCCCTGTGCTAGACAGTAAGTTCTTATTAGTTATCTGTTTTATATACAATAGTATGTATATGTCAATGAAAAGTCCTTTTTTAAATACAAGTTTCTGGATGGTTTTGTTCTGGTCACACTGCAGAATCTCTGCCAACAAGAGAGTCAGGACACAACAATGCTATGGGGTCCTTCAACAGAGGCTGAAACACATGGACAGGTGGCACAGACTACAGCCCCCACAACCACACAAGCCCCTCAGCCTCATTTCTCTTAGTAAAGAGCTCCTCCAGCTCATGGAAGGCAGAGTCCTTAGTTCTGCTTCCCTGTGTGGTCAGAGTTAAGTCATCAAAACTTCATATGAAGCAAGAAATGTCCCAACTCCAACTCAGCAGATATGCAAAAACAAGACATACGCAACAACTGGCAAGCCACTTAACACATACCTGTTAGATAGAGAGTAAAGGAAATGAACCGGTGGTATTTACTGAGAATCCGCAGAGGCTCCTCTCTCTGGACCAGAGTGAAGAAGTAATCTGTCACTGTTTCGCCATAGAAGAAATAATTTACACACAGCAGAAAGTACCTGTTAAAGAAGACAGATCACTGCCAAAGGGAGCACACGTGGCCCCTCCCTTATAGCAAGGCTGTCAGGACCAGAGCAGCAGTCCGTCCAACACTTAAGAATGCCCCAGGCAGCCCAGAGCAGGACAGGCAGACCACAGATCCCTGTTCTCTGGTGACCCTGTAGGTGAGGTATTTATCTAGAAATTTGTGGCTTTCATTCACTCTCCATTTATCACAAACTTGGGACCCAGTTTCTGCCCCTTCTATAGCACTGCCAGGTCTAACAACACTCAATCTGTAAGACAACCCCCAGAAAGGTACCTCATTCCATTCTTCCTGTTAGGAACTCTGCATGCTTATCAAAACGAAATTTCTCTGACTTTCTGTCTGTCTGTGTGGTTCCTTTCTTCTCCCTGCCTGGAACATCCTCTTCACTTACCCACTTTATCATTCATTGCTCAAATACCATTGTCTTCATAAAACCCTGCATGATCGAATGTGGTATCTGCCTCCCCTGCCTTTATTTCTATAGTGCAAAATACTTGCTCTTTTCACTAAGCAATTAATTATGCTTCATCTCAGACTGTCTTCCTCTCTGATGCCCAGCTCTGACACACAAATCTTTCACTAGCATTAATTCGTCACTTGTTTATAACCTCTCCTCAACTAGAGGGAGCTCCAAGGAGGGAGAGGCCATGGTCCATATACATGTGCAGCCTCACTAATGTTTCTGAGTATGAGAATGAGCAACCCAACTCTAAACACTCAATAAATATCCAGACATCAAAGAAAGGGGAGAGCTTCTCTTATCTCTTCCATTTTTTTTTTTTTTAAATTGTGGAAGTTCAAGAACTCCCAAACAAGCTTTGTTTACATGAAAAACACTTCCCTTGAACAGTGACCACAGTCAGGGGTCAAACATCCTGAATATGTTAATAAAATTCATAACATTGCTTTCCAGCTATAGGAGACCCACAAGAGAAACCTACATCTTAACCCAGGGGGCAGGCACAGGCCCTGTGGTGACTGCAAGGCAGCTTATGCTGCTGGGTGACAAGGAAGCATCTCTGAGAAGGATGTGTCCAGCCCAAGTATGAGCATGTCAGCTCCCTTGGCCATAACCAAGTGGCTGGGGCCCAAAACACTACTCTCTGGCCTGGTAAGTTATGAAATCAATGCCCAAGACCCAGCACAGCAGAGTGAGAGGAGTGTGTATCTGCCCTAAGTCTTCTCAGGACTACACAATGCTCTGTTCACACGTCACCACCTCGGAAGAGTGTGGTCAATACAGCAAAGGTTTCAGATCAGGAAGGTGTCTTGGACATCATCTGCACTACAGGTTTTGTTTTGGCTTCAAGACAGACAAGCCCAGAATTCTTTGGCAGGCCAATGGTTAGGACTTGCTCTCACTGGCCAGACCCAGGTTCAATTCCTAGGCAGGGAACTAAGATCCTACATGCCACGTAACACAGGCAAAAAAAAAGAAAAAAAACCTAAGGACATCCAAGCCCTTTCTTAGGAGGAGAAAACTGAGCTCCTCTGGGGAGCCCAGATCCCTTGCATTCAGTGTCACTCCTGCCCACTGGCACCCAAGGAACCTCCAAGGAACTAGGACTCCAAAACCACAGGTTGAAAAGCACTGACTAGGTCACTACTATCTGTTTTAAGGATGAGCAAGCCAAGTTCCAGAAACAGCAACACCAGCGTTGACAACTCCTAGATGACTTGTGGGATGCTGGGATACCAGAGCACGAAAAATGTACTGATCTAGAAAACGGGGGCCATTGTGCAGTCTAAGGAATCCAAATATTGATGCAAATATGGTCACAGATGCAGCTGGTCTGGATTCTTCTAAGGAAGAACCACTCCTTCCAAGCCAGCCACTCAGTCTGGCCTAGGCAATACTTTGGTCTCAAAGGTGCTGTGAAGGTCCATGGCCATCAACCCCTCCCTCCAACCACGACTGTAACTACCTACCACAAAACCTTTGTCCAAACCAGTTAAAGGTCTCTGTGGGGCTAGAGAGCTTACCAGCTGAGGGTTCTGAACCAGGGCAGGTCATAGGAGTGGTACACATTGTAGCCAATAGTGATAATCTCGTGGAAACACTTAATCTGAACACACATCACCTGCAGGACACAAAAGAATTAAAACACTTGCTATCTCCTCAGTTCTTATGATCTGTGGAAACAGAAACCAACAGGTCATAGGCCTTCAAGAAAAACCATTATATTTAAGAACAATGTCAGTCCTCCAGTGATTTCTGCTCCCCTCCTTTCTCTCACATCACTCAACAGGGTTGGGAGGCCCTTTATGTCACACAGAGCAGATCTAATTTCTCACAATAAATACATGCTTCTGAAACTCTGATTAACTTTTTATTGTAGAATCCCCCAGGACTCAATCTCTTCCATTTTTGACTCTGAATAAAAATACATATTTGAAAAGTCCCAAACTGCTCTGCTAAGTCATCAGTTGTATAGTCATTTGATGCTGTGTCTATGACAATGGGAAGACTCAGAACAAAGTACTGTGGATTGGAATTTTGTATCAAAAGTCCCAAACTTAGGAGGGAGGCCCCAGGAAAACAAGAACCAAAATCAAGAGTCACACAGAATCATAGCCAGGTTCCCAGTTTGACCAAAGAGCTGAAGTACTAAAATCAAATTTTAAAGTGATCTTTAATCACCTACAACTGGCCCATGCCAATGGCCCTCCAGTTGGCTGCTGGAAGGTGAGAAATCATAGCTATTCTAAGGTGGATGTGGTCTGAGCAGCCAGGACCTCAAGTGATTCCCAGAACCAAACCAACACCTGGCACTTAAAATGACTAGACATGCAGGGAAAACTGAAGGTAAAACTAAAATAGCAAGTAAATGGCACTTACAATCATCATTAAAACCATTGGTCCCAAGTAAATGATAATGAAGAAAAATGCAATCATCGCCAAGGTCAGGATGCCTCTCACCCACCAGTTCTTCCATCTAAGTTAGAGAGGAAGGGAAGGAGAAAACATGTTAGGAGCCCGAAAGAACTGAAGCACAAGCTCAAGGTGGGTGGTTCTTTTCTGGGAGAAGAGGGCTCTGAGGTCAATGCTTTCCAGGAGTACGTCTTTCATCTTGACAGAGGCAGTAGCTATATGCTGGAAGAAGCAGGTCACCTCACCTCATCAGAGCCATCACCTTATCTACACTAAACTCAGCAAGTGCTCAAGGCTTGCATAAAAATACACCCAACCTGTTTTTTAATGAAGGAAGCAGGCAAAAATCCCAAGGGAAATATAATGTCTGCCTGCCCCCCTCCCCTTATGTATCTATTTAGATGGCTTCTATGGGCATCTCTGAGAAAAAACTATTAACACTTTTGCTGCAGCAGAATCCTACATTTCTCTGCTCCTGCATCACTATGGTAATAGCAGTATCAAACACAGTGGTGATAACAGCTATCACACCTGGCACATATGCACCTGGCACTTCTACAAGGACTTTCATGTGTATCAACTGATTTAACCCTCAATACTACTAGCTTTTACAGATGAGGAAGTGGATGTACAGATGATACCCTGTGAAGTGCTTAAGCTGGGAATTGAACCCTGGGAGCCAATCTGGCTCCAGAACCTGTAATCCTAATTGCTGCACAATACAGCCTTTCAAATGGACAAATGTGTGGGATGCATGCCCACGCACACTTTTATATAATGTTTTGGGGTCTTCGAGTTTGCCCACACAGCTGGAATCAGAAGGACCAGAATCTCAAGGGACCAAAATTTTAAGTCTGAATTCACCAAAGTTGAAATGTTTCTTAATTCCTACAGGAGAATTAAAGGACTATACAAAATAGATGTGTGGGGAGAAGGAAAACTGAATTCTGAACTAGAGATTTAGGCTCCTCAGTGGAAAGCAGCCTGCCCATTAGTCACAAACCCCAAGGACCATTTATCTTCATGTGTTCTATCAGTGATTACTCCTATGTCCATGTATTCCTGCTGCTTGTACAGTACCTCCCAGCCAGCCTAGGGTATCCTTCAAGGGCCAGATCCACTCAGGTTGTGCTTGTAGTCACTGCTGAGTACTCGATGACACTCAGTGGAGCCTTAAGCAGAGGCAGGGGAGACTATAACCAATGAAGTGGCAGGTCTGGGCCTCACACTTTAACAGATGTGGGCTCCTGCTACAAGACTGTGGGCTCTCTAAGGGCTTCAGGTCTTCCATGACACTTGGAGACCCAGAGCTCTCGGCAAGCATTTGCATGAGTAAGCCAAGCTACCTTGAAGACAAGCTGGAAAGCGCCCTGTTGAGAACCTCTGGGGTATCATCTGCAGAGGGTGGTAGGGAAACAGCTTCCACTCTGCTTTCACTGTCCGATGCAGTCTCTCCATCTACCTTTGCTTCTGACTCTGACTCCTGCACAGCAGAAAAACAGAAGAGGAAAAGATCAAAAGCGCTGGGTAGGATACTGGGTGTAAACATCCAAAAGGACCCATCTACCTTTGAAAAGGCCTCTCCACCAACACCTAAGTCACACAGGGAATAGCCCCTGCTCTGCCACAATACCACAGTAAACTGTGGACTCTTAGAGCCACAGGACAACTAGTGACTCTGGACAGGCTCTCTCGAGGGAAGCTGGGTGTGCAGGCTACTGTCCCCTGCAACAGAGCTCCCGAAAACCCATGGTGTTACTTCCAGGCTTCACAAGACCAACCACCACATGAGGAGGCCAGCCCCAGTCAGGTGCGGAAGCCCTATGGGACCACTAACTCTAGTCAACACTTCACCAGGACTGGTGTGTGCCACTGCCCTCCCCCTGCCACCAGGCCTGGGTGTCAGCAGACACTTCAATGTCACTCACAGAGTTGCCACCAGGTCACAGTCATGTAAGGAAATGCCTGCAGGAACTCACACTGCTCCTCGGCCTGTATGAATGGGCCAGAGCATGCCAGCAACAGGTCCTCCATCCAAAGTACCAAGCTTTTATTTCTTAGGGGAATTTAGAATAGATGCCATGAGAAGAGGTGCAGGAGAAATTAAATCACTTGAAATCAAAGCCATGATACTACATAGTATTTGAGTAGCCCTTCAGAATTTCGAGAGTATTTCCCGTACCTGTGAACATTTGAGCAGTAATGTTCAAGGAAGGAAGGAAAGGCAGATAGAAAGATCACTGTTTATAAACGAGGAAACAGGGGCTCTGAGAAATTCAATAGTTGGCCCCAAATCTCCTATAACTGGTCTCTGACTGTAATGTGTTCATTCCACTACATTTCCTTTTATTTAAGCATCTCAGAATCCATTTTATTCTTCAGTTAAGTGATTCAGAAACAAAGTAAACTGGTAATGGCAACAGGATGTTTCACCAAATCATCAAAGATTTCATTACATACACGAACAAACAAAAAGTTGTATCTTTTTTTCAAATTGAACAATTTGAATTTCCTTATTGACTAATAAATAGATGAAATTGAGCACCACTTCACACATTTCTTGGCCATTTTGATGTCTTCTTTTGTGAAGTGCCTGTCAAGTCACTGGTCAGTTTTCTACTGGGTTCCCTTGCTTTTTTTTATGTGTAGGAGTTTTTAAATATGTTCCAAATTTAAGTACTTTGTATCACTGACATGTTCCCCCAGTCTCCTCTAAACCCTAACAACCCACCTCAGTCCTCCTCTCACCTACAATCAGACCTCTTCCCTCTTGCTCAGCACTGGCCACAGTGGGGTGTTGGTGGGAGATTTTGTAATTGTCTGCTGCCCCAACTGACCATAAGGCCCCTAAAGACAAGATATCCTCATGCCTGGCACACAGATGCTGACAAATACATGGAAGATGGTGGAGAAAGAGAGGAATTTTTTCCAGCTATGGTAAAGCAGCCCTGCTCTCATAGAGACAGCTGTTTCTAAATTAACTTACAACTGAGATAACACCGCAAAACAGAAGGCTTAACCACTACAGGATTGCTGATACAGAAACAGGGGGCTTTGGTAAAGAACTTAGGGAGTCACTCTGCTGTACAGCAGAAATTAACATAACACTGTAAATCAACCATACTTCAATTTAAAAAAACAAAACAAAACAACATTATGGAGGTGTCCTCATCAGTAGCACCTGAGGGAACGAGCCACGGCTGCTGCTGCTGCGGTCACTGCTCCTTCCTCCACCAGGCTGAGCCAGCGGACAAGTCACCCAAGCGCTGTACTTCACTTCCTTACCTAATAAAAGGAGACCAGAAAGGACCCTCCCCGTCTGTGCAGGGGTTCTCCAGAAAAACATACCCAGACACACACCCAGAGCTGTGTCCTAGTCCACTGCCCCACAAGGTTCTGAAATGCAGCAATGCCCCTAAGTGTAACTGAGATTCTCTCTCTCCAGCAGCACTTAGTGAAGACGGAGGCATTCAGAACAGATTTCCATGCTGCAGGCTAACATTATCATCCTTTTCCCATCAGCGACCATCAGGGATATGAGGTAACGATGCTATGGGATTATCTAGATCTGACCTCTAAACCAAAGAATTGCAAAGAGTAACAGGGCCCCACCAAGGCCTCCCACAGATGTTCTCCGCCAGTATGTAGAAGCCACAGGGACCGAGTTAACAACAGCAGGCGAGAGGGTATGTATGTAGGCGCAAACGCTTGCGAATGCATGTGCGCGCGCACACACACACACAGGAGCTCTAGCACCAGCTATTTTTAACTTATTCATCTTGTTGTCAAGGAAACTCACAAAGGCTGCTCGTTCCCCAAGCTAGGAAGGGCAGGAAGAAACCCTGGCAGAGCCCCTGCAGGGGAGGGGCAGGGAGCTCTGGCTTGGTACTAAGTCTCTGGACCTTGCAGACCCTTTTACAAACGTCAGCCCAAATAACGCCGTATCTGACTCCTCTCCTTCCTTACTAGGAAGAGGTGCAGTGAAGAGAGGTATCCTGAAGCAGAAAGCAGTAAAAGGACATAGAGAAATGTCACAAAGACAGTGACTGTGTTATTGTCAAGACATCAGGCCTGGGATGAACCAAGAAATGAAGTAAACTAAAGAAATAAGCCTGAAGGAGATTAACTTTCCAGTTGTCACCTGCCTTTAAGCAAGTAAGGGCTTCCCTGGTGGCTCAGATGGTAAAGCGTCTGTCTGCAATGTGGGAGACCCAGGTTCAATCCCTTAGTTGGGAAGATCCCCTGGAGAAGGAAATGGCAACCCACTCCAGCACCCTTGCCTGGAAAATCCCACGGAAAGAGGAGCCTGGTAGGCTACAGTCCATGGGCTCGCAATGAGTCGGACACGACTGAGCGACTTCACTTTTAAAAAGTAACGCCAGGGTCCTGGGCCTCAGCCCAGGCCACTGAATAAGATCCTCAGAGCCCTTCGCTGGAGGTGTCCTTGGAGAAGGAGACAAACACCTACACAGATAACCTCTCTCCCACAAGCTGAAACTGAGTTGAAAAAGGCAGAAGGGCAAACCCCTGTGCAGGAGGAGAGGGCACAACCTGGGAAGACATGGATCAGGGTGAGGCAGGTTAGCCAACTCTCAGGGCTCCAGGTGTGGCTGCCAAGAGAGCAGACGAAGGAACAGAAGCCTCGGAGAACCTGGAAACCCTGCGCTGTTCCGGCTACTCCCTGTGTGGGGGCAGGGCCTTCCACTTGGGCTGCTTTGCCTCAGTGAGGAGGAATGCTGGCAGCAGCTTCTGTCGTGGACCCAGGAGGAGTCAAAAACCTGGAGCCCAAGGTTTTGCCCAGGAGAAAGTGGCACACGTGAGGACCAAGAATCAGAGATGTCAGGCGTTTCACTGCTTTGCTCCTCCAGGGGATGGAAAGACAGGCAGATGCCAAGAAAGACCTTCTGCAGGAGGCAGAGGCAGCCAGTCAATTCCCAGCCCTGGTGTTCATTACACTCAGCACAGGCCTCCAGTCCCTGGTCTTCCCCCTGAGGAAAGCGCCCCCTACCTCACATGGTTGCTGGAATGATCAAATGCAACACCAGTGAAAGTCTATTAAAACTACAAAGGGACTGAAGAGCAACAGGGACCTGCTGAATTCCATCCTACCCCCATTCTCCAGTACGCTGACCATGGCACACAGCTCAGGAGCCCAAGAACCTTAAACACCCATCCCAGGCAACCTGGGCATCCCTCCCAAGGACGGTGGAGTGGAGAAAGAGCAGTGCTTATCAAGTCTTGCTAGGGCCCATGTGCTAATCAATTCGGTGAACTCAGCATCTGCCTGCCTTGCTTCCTCTTTCCTGTCTTCCATTCCAACAGGTGGCCCCAACTCAGAAATGATCCACTTCTCAAAGTTCCCATAAAGGTGGAAGTCTGAAACACAGGCAGCAGTACCTACCAACACTTCCTGACACGGGATGTGTGCAGCACAGTTCACCGAGGTGTGGAAGGAAACATTAGAACTTACTTCTGTTTACCTCGTTCATCTTTTCTTTCCTGTGCCTGCTTTATGAGGAACCTATCAAAACATGTATATAACTGAGGCTTTGCCAGCTGGGGAATGTGGTAAAAACATCACATACACGTCAGACACAGTGGTGGGTCAGTGACCCTGGAATTCTTGATTCCCACCACACTAAGCTGTGCCTGGGACACAGTACGAACCCAAAGATTTACTGGACTAATACACTAATTAATTCATCTTAACCTACCATGGACCACAGTGTCTGGACTGCACTAAGCATATGACAAAATCAGCTCAGATCTCCAGTTCACGTGCCAGGTCTGACAGGCCCCTGCCTCGGCAGCAACCCTTGTAACAAAGCCAGACCAGTGCCCACTCTCATCCCCTCTCTCTGCTAGCTGACGGTCTAAGGATCCAGCTCAGGAACTCTGGGGCCAGCACCCGGTAGCCGGGAAAGGTGCAAGCTCAAACTCAAGCTCAAGCTGCTGCAAGCTCAGCTCAGCTCCCAGGCATCCCCTCCTCCTCCCTTTCTTTTCAACCAAGGAGCCAGATCAGAGGTTGAATAGAGCAGACCCTATCTCTCAGATTCTATCTCAGTCACTGCCCATCCTCCCACAGTCCTGCAGCCATTTCCCAAGTGGGCTGTGGTGCTGGTGTAAACAGGAAATAAAAGCATTGCTTTAAAAGGAGAAGAAAAAAAAAGTTACATCTGAGGCCTCCTTCCTTCTGGTTCACTTAGACTATAAAGTAGAAACACTTAGGTGATATGATAGACACATGGAGAGCCTGGTGATAGACACATGGTGTACCAAGGGTTCAGATAAAACCTGCTAACATTTTTAGAGGAACTCGTGCATAAAAAGCTTCCCCTACCAGCCTTCCAGGTCCCTTCTACCTCCCACAACTGCCCAGACACCAATGAACCAGGGCTCAGAGAGCACAGAAGCCTTCCTTCCACAGAAGCAAGAGATGCCAGTGAGGGAGGGCCAGGGCCCCGTAATAAGGGGAGGAGGGAG